TCTTCTCTGCTGCTTACCTGGTCCGGTCGCCTTTGGCGTGCGGGGCCGCCGGGGTATCCATCCCATCCAGAGCGATCGCGATGGCGATGGACCCGGCCGCTCTCGGATGAAACACTCCTATGGACTGAAAAATAATGATGGATGAATTGGGAGAGCAAGACCTGCTTGTGCAGGTCCAACCTTCTGTAGCTAGCCCTGCATCTGCATGCCGACGATCACGTGGTGTTTGCACGTGATCCGCATGCGGCGAAGCAACTGGACTGACCATTCTTCACGTGCCGTGTACCAAGTACTCCTACCAGCTAGGCCGTTATTTTGCCGCATGCCGGCGTTGCCGATCGGCCCTCCATAATTTGCGAGCGGTGGCGTGCAAGCTGGCTGGAGGGGTGATGATACGTACTCCCTCCGTTCGGAATTACTTGTCTCGAAGGTGGATGTATCTATCGAAGGTGGATGTATCTAGAACTAAAATACGTTTAGATACATCCATTTTTGCGACAAGTAATTTCGAGCGGAGGGAGTACGTACTACGTACTGATCCAGGGTGTGCGGAGGGGGACTTGTTTACCGCTGTAGAAGACAGGCAAGATCGAATCGCTTGCGTAAAGCACGGTTATCTTTTCCGAAAGGCTCACACCCAAGGATGTTTGCTCCGGAAGAGAAAGGATCCCACAACGGGCCTGCGGTACAATGATTGGGAAAAGCGGGCGAGAGGAGGCCCGGGGGGGGTGGGGGGACGCCTTTCGGCGGCCTCGAAAAGCAGATTCAGTGAACGAATTGCCGCTGCTGCGAGCGCGCTTGAGTGACACGGCCTTCCATTTCCTTCTTTCAGTGCCCGATCGGAATACTTACCTGTCCTGTTTGAGGCTAATGGCCAGGTTCCGTTTCGGTGCAGGTTCTCACGTTGGCATCCAGTTCGTGGCTCGGTGCGATTCTACTTTTGACTACGTAGTGCTAGTAGTGGATTGCCTGGTCCGGAGGGCCCGATGCTGGATGCTGCTGGGAACCGCATGAGCTGATCTGAACCAGCAGGAGCAATGCTACTACTCCTGTATTGGAATGGGACCGCGGAAATAGTTAATTGTCTGAAATTCTGCTCGTTGTATCCTTCGTGTTTTCTTTAGGGTCTCTGTTCATTCATGTGATGTGGATCATGCTAAAAGTTTTGTACTAGAGAATAAGTGCAGGAATACCACTACTCGCTACAGTTTCTGCCATCGTTCAGGAGCCACAGTTTCCGTCCGGTATCTTTAGACGCCCAAAGGTTATGTCGGGAGCAACTAGTCAACGAGCGCTCGTAACGAGCGGTTCGGGAGCACTCCGCGCGTGACAAGTGTCGCGCGCGGAGCGCTCCCGCCAGGGAAAACCAGGTGGCGCGGTTGGTTCCGGTTTTCATTTTCCGGTTTGTGGTTTCGTGTGTTTTGCAGTTTGACCCTCGAACTATCAGAATTTTCTATTTTTCTTTTCCGCGCAATCACAAAGAAAATACCACTTCGCGCGCTTGGTTCCCTGTTTCCCTTTTCTTTTTCTCTTTTTGTTCCCATTATATTTCCGGGTAATGGAGATTTATGGGGTAGTTACGGGCGGGGACTACCAACACTATCAAATGTGACCTTTCTAATAAGGAAAAAACAACAACCTTTTAATGCACAGGTGTAGACTAGCATAGGCACGACTGTATAACTTAATAAATTGAAGAACAGAGCCTCTCCGGTGCATGGGAACCTCCTGCTCGTCTTCGGCTCGTTTAATTTTCATAAACATCTTGAAGGGGGCCATAGGTCGAAGTGTGCTTTGGTCGTGCGGCGTGTTGGTTCGTGCGGCGCGTTGTCCGTCGTGGTGTGACACGGTGCCTCCGGCGCGAGGGAACCTACTGCTCGCCTTCGGCTCGTTTAATTTTCATAAACATCTTGAAGGGGGGCATAGGTCGAAGTGTGTTTTGGCCGTGCGGCGTGCTGGTTCGTGCGGCGCATTGTCCGTCTGGTGTGACACGGCGCCTCCGGCGCATGGAAACCTCCTGCTCGTTTAATT